TCTGAGATTCCAGGCTGTTTGCTTGAACTCTGTAAGGCTCAGCTTTCCCACCTGTAAAACGGGAATCACAAGGAGTCTGCCCAATAGGCTTAATGAGGGCCCAGTGAGGTGGGACGGGGCAGGAGCTTGGGTCCGTGTGGCACACGGCACGTGTCCCCCAAATCAAGTTTGGTGTGTCCTGGGTTGTCATTGCTAACAGGCTTCTCTGTGTCCCGCCGCCTCCCCCCGCCCAGGCTATGTGAAAAATCTAAGTGCAGACACTGGGGTTCCCACCCCATTCTTAGCATAGGGCTTGGGATAAAATAGGGATTTATTGATTGAGCGTGAGGTACACATGAATACTGATCCCCAGGACGGAGACCAGACCTTGTTCCCCTCTATGTCCCCAGAGCCCAGGCCAGAGCCAGGCGCATGCCTCTGAGTCTTCGCCGCACAGGCCTAAACCCATGCCTCTCCTCTCCTCGGGCATGACCGTGGCCCCCGGTAAACAATGTTTACCGTTCCCGGAACGTGGCTGATTAATCCACACAGCAGGCAGCCCGCGAGCTGGTAATCTCTCTCTACCTGCGTGGCTCCATAAAACTTCACGGCGTCGTGGAAGCCACAGGAGAGAGCCCCGGACTAGGTTTCAGGAGACGTGAGTTAGAGCCCCGTCTCTCTGAGCAAATCCCTGGCACCACCCCCCCCACATCTCCTCCTTGTCCGTCAGCCGGGGGCTACAAGGCTGGCCACCCTCCCTGTCTCACACAGACACGGAGAAGAGCCCACGAAGTAACGATGTCAAGGCCACCGAGAAGTGCAAGTCCGTTGAATGTAGAAAGCAACGTCGCTGAGTGTTGTTGTACCCACTGGATGCTTCCGTCCACCACTGGGAGGCAGGAGAAGGGACGGTGTCCCAGGAAGAAATGGTGGCCTCAGAGGGACTCCTTACTTGGTCCGTCGCACCTGTCCTCCACCCCTTACTGTCCAGAAGGGTTCGGGTGGGTGTGTGAGTTACGGTGACAGGAGCAATGATAAAATGGGCTCAGCATGCTAGGAGTCTGTGACTCACATAACATCCACAGGGGTGTTCCCGATCGGCTGGTGGCTTTGCTCCAGCATCCCAGACTCGATCTGTCTTGCAGCCCCGACTTCCAAGGAGCCTTGGACTCCCGCTGCCCGTGAGGACTGTGCATGAGACAGCCTTGAATGCGGTGCCCGCAGCAGCCTGCATCTGCCCACACTCTGCTAGCCAGGGTTTGGCCACACAGTTCCCCCGGAAACTCAGCCGGGCTGTGCCCTGGGAAGAGAGGAGAACGTGAATACTGGTGAGCGCAGCAGGTCTCTGCCCGTGCGGGAGCTGCACGCGCTCAGTCCGCCACAGCCACGGAACCATCTAGCGTTAGAACTTGGAAAGCCTCGGAGGTCAGTGAGGCACCGGTAACTTGATTACCTGTAAACACTTAGGGGCACATACATGTGGAGGAAATGCCTCAGCTGCTCGGTTCGCTCATCCCGTGACCTTGAACCAGGGGCTGATGTCTTCATGTGGAAGACAGGACCGACAGGGGTCCCCGGCCCATGGAGTCGGTGTGAGTATTAAATGAGAACATGCCCACGAAGTCGCCAGCACATTACCTGACCTAGGGGGCGCGTGATCCTTGAGAGTTATTCTGTGGAGCCGAGCCCCCTCATCTCGTTGTGGGGTGGCAAAAATGGCTTGCTCAAGGTCACATAGCTGATGAGTGTCAGAGAGACCAGTTTCAGTGTCCACGTATCCCTGTAATCTCTCTCGGCGGTTGCTCCTGACTTTGAACAGAAGTCTGTTCAGCCAGAGCCCAGGGATGTGCTTCCAACCCCCTCTGAATCCTCAGTCGTGAGCTCTGGCAGCCCAAAAGTCAATCCAGGCCACTGTCCTTATGGATGGGAAGAAATAAATGCAAACTGCTTAAAGGGCCATTCTACCTGGAGCCCAAATCTCCCTTTGCCTCAGCTGGCTGCCCAAAGAAGCAATTTAGCAAATGCATTTTATCTCAGGAGAATCTGTCTTTCGTGTCTGTGACTTGCTTGTCAGGAGTCTCCTGCCTCCCCTGTGGTGGGAGTGTGCCGTGCCGGACCAGTGGGGTCTGTCCACGAAAGCCCCCACCCCAGCTCAGCATCTCCCCGGAGAAACCACTAGGACCCTGGGGGAAAGGGAGGCAGTTCTCGAGCTGCTCAGCCTCCCCCCTGGGACAACATCAGCCACGGAGTCAGCAGTCGGCAGCCCTAGGTTACAATCTGGAAAGGTCCATAATGGAACCGTAATCACATTGCTTAGGGGTGTGTGGCACTCTACAGTTTGCAAAGCATTTTCACACGCATTTGTTCACTTGAGAGTATTGCAGAAAAGTAGAAAGACGCCAATAAAACTTCATCTGCGAATCCACCGCTCAGGAGGGCTTTGTTAACACTGGAATGCGTTGCCTTCGGTCTGTTTTCTATGGGGTGTTTTGTTTTTGGGTCGTCTCTTTGCTGTATTGGGAACATTCTGCACGTGTATTTTTATGGCCTGCTTTGTGTCTTCCACCAGCTCGTCTGGTCCCCACATGCATCCCCCAGAGAGGATCCCTTGTGTCGTGAAAAGGTCTGCGGTTTGGGGAGACTGGATTCTCAACCCGGACTGCTGCTCTCCAGCGGTGTAGTGGGCAGATGACTAAAACCTTCTGAGCCTCAGTTTCCTCCGCCGTAAAACAGAGATGTGTGCTGAAGGGCTAAACTAATATGCACCTGAAAACGCTTGGCACTGCACCTGGCGCATAGTAGGCTCTTAGTCCCTATTAGCTAAGCGAAGGTGCAATCCACCATGTTGAAAATAAACACATTAAAGTGCAGGGAAGGCAAGCGGGGGGTCCAGAGTCTTACAGGTTCTGACATTGTGTGTCTGACTTCGCACCTGCTGTGCTGTCCACAATAGCCAGTGTGCTGGGTGGACAGCAGCAGCCTCTAGATCCTGCCCCTTAAGCACGGGGACGGCCGGAGGTACCCTTGGGATGCAGATGCCACCGAATCACATCAGTGGTACCGTGAAGCTCATAGACGCGGGCTACTTAGCCCATAGGATTGTCGATAGATTTCCCTCACCCCAGGGCAGGCCATATCTTAGGTTTCGAGAACATTTCCCATTGGTCATTGTGCCTTTTTTACCATGCGGTGGCCACGAATGCGTCTGGTGCAGGCTTGTTGCGCGCACAAGACGCTCTAGATGTCCTAGGTTCGGGGATTCAGAGGCGAGCGGGACACAGCTCCTGCCTGTAGGGTCCACCGTGTGGGTGCTTTTCAGGAGATGGCTCTTGGAGCCAGTTACCGTGGAATGCCCTTCCCCTAACTCCAGGGCGTGTGCCTGTGTCCATGGGGAGGGGAGGAGAACCCCCACGCCCACCTGCCTTCCTCGTGTTCTGGCCACTGATTCGCTTTCTCATAGGATGGTGTTTTCGGCGAATCCTCATCAGAGAAAGCACGTGAGCCTGGCTCCGTCCGTCCACACGGGTCCTCACACCTTTGCCCTCCCCTCTTCATCGATCCGGAGGCCAGGCACGCCTCTCAACCCAAAAACACAGCCCGAAAGAAAACAAAGGTGGCTTTGGCAAAGAACTTGGCAGATGTTTATTCTCTGAGAGGGGCGTGATTGCTGGTGTCCTTCTGCGGTGTGGGTGAGACAGGGAGGCCATGTTAGGGATTCCCCCAGGAGAAAGGCATGGGGACTGTTTCTGACACGAAACAGAGGGGCTACCAGGCTCACCCAGCCCCTGCCTCCCCACCCTCCAGACCCTTACCACCTCCTCCAGCTGATGGTGAGGACGCCAAGGTGTCTTCAGGGGGGCCCAGGTGTCTCCCGTTCCAAATTGTGAAAATGACAACCCTGATGATAGGCGATGTCTGTAGTCTGTATGAAGAATCTCGCCCTGGCTGGTGTAGCTCAGTGGATTGAGCTCGGGCTGCGAACCAAAATGTTGACTTTTGCCGCACAATCTGCATGTGACACATCGGTCCATTCTCGGTGCAGTGGTCGTGTCCTCCCAAACATGCACACCCACGTAACCCTGATCTCGAATGTTCCCTTCACCCGTACGCTTCTCTCCTGCCTCTTCCCAGTCTGTTCGCTCTGCGACCCCACGCCCACTGATCTCATTTCCATCCCTCTCAAAGCCCTTTGACTTTTTCATTGTGACTCTTTATCTACCAAACAGGCCGAGTGGCCCCTGCCTGGCAGGGTCATCGCGGGGTCTACCTGAGACGGGTGCACATCAGGCCCCTGGGCCCGCAGACCTGGGTGTCTGGGCACCCGAGTGCCTGCACCTGCCTCCGTCTGACGCTGAGTCCTGCACTCCCTGTGAGCAGGCCGGCTCGCTCTCTCGCCAGCTGGGCCGGAGGGAGCCGAGGAGAGCTGGACAAGGGACGTCTGCACGCAGCTCCGTGGACTAAGACTTCCAGAGCGTTAGAAAGGAGAGAAGGGAGGGAAAGACTGGGCTCTGAGGCTCTGCTTAAACTTGGACGGACGGGAAGGAAAAGAGTTTCTGTTTTGTTCGGCTTCCCTGCTGCAGAGACGAAAATGTGTGGCTCTAGGGTGAGAGCAGCACCTGCTCGCTGGAAGGCGCCGCTCCAGTCGGGCTCAGTACTCTTCCCTGTGACCGTTCTGCTGCTATTATTTGAGAATGTTGTGCTAGGTCATCCGGGAAAAGATTGTTTGTTTGTTTGTTTATGGGGCATTTGCGATTGGTCATTCGTTCTTCCCTGATTGCCCTCATCATTCTGGGCTCAGAAGGGTCTCATTTCTCAGAGGCTGAGCTGCCCTTCACCGGCACCTCTTTGAAATTGGAGTAAATTGCAGGGGAAAATGAAAACGGCGATCTTGTCCTTCTGCGTCTGGCCATCGACAGCGTCCAGTGGAGATGCAGCCAGGGGAGGGCGGGGCATGAGGGACAGCTTCTGGGCCCCCCGTGGGCCTTCTTCCTTGTTTGCGAGCCCCCTCTCCCACCTTGCAGCTCCAGAAACAGCTGTCCGAGCTGGACGAGGACGACCTGTGCTACGAGTTCCGGCGAGAGCGCTTCACCGTCCACCGGACCCACCTGTACTTCCTGCACTATGAGTATGAGCCCGCTGCGGACAGCACCGACGTCACCCTGGTCGCCCAGCTCTCCATGGACAGGTAGGGCTCTCGGGCCCCCTCCTCACGGACCCCTCACTGCCATCCGTCCCCTGGTCAAATGGAGAAGGGACGGAGGGCCTGGGGGCTGAGACTCTCAGAGTCTGATAGGGTAGGGCTCGTGTCTGCTGGCCACCCCCCACCCCCGCCCCAGCATTGAAAACCCAGGGCTCTTGTGTTTTGGTGATGTCATGGGTTTGAAGATGGAGAGAAGAACCGATTCTAAGAAATGGAGCTCTACCTAAGTTACCTCAAGGAAAAGGGGGCACATTGTAGGGAAACACGCAGACTGGAGCTACTACAGTCTCTGCTGGGAAGCGACTGCCGTTCTGTCTCCTACGTGTATCCAGGCATCTATCCAGGCAGCAAAGATGGATGGAGCCTTTGTCAGGCCATGCTGACGTGACTCCCCTTCTCACGCGGCTCCCAGTCTGGTGCCCTGGCTCTCAGCCTCGGCTGGGGACGGGCTGAATCGCCTGGGGAGCTCTTAAAACAAATTTATGCCCAGGCTCCATTGCAGGCCAGGTACGTAGGAACCTCTGTGCAGTGGAGACGTTGCATTGTTCTCAGTTTGCAGCGTGCAGCCAGAGTCGAAAACAGGGCTAGTGTATAAACAACCATAAACAGTTGAGTGATTATCATTGTGGTAAGTGCTTTAAAGGAACCAGGATAGATGATAACAATGTCAAGTGAGGGACCTTATTTAGGCGATATGGTCAGGGGGAGTCTTTGTAAAGGGGGGACATTTCTGCAGAGACCCGGAGGATGAGGAAAGGAGTCGGGCACACGAGTGGCTGAGGAACTGTTTTCCAGGGGATGAAATAGCAGGTGCACAAGCCCTGGGGTGGGAAGGGCCTTGCGCATTGAAAACCTGATAGCAGACCAGTGCGGCTGCAGCGTGGTGGGGTGCTGAGAGCTGACGTGCCTGAGATGAAGGTAATGGGACGTTAGAAGCTCACACATTACTTGGACGTTATTCTAAGTGTGTCAAGAAGTTATTGAAGAAATCTATACAGTTATTTGATCTAACTTAGGTTTTTTGAAAACATCTCTCTGGCTGCCAGGCGGTGGGTGGATTCAAAGCCCTGAGGTCACTCGCTCAGAGCCACACTTTTCTATATCTGGCTCTCCTGTGTGCCCCCCTCCCACCTCTGCTCACCAGCTGCTGCTTTGATTAGCACATGGCCCATCGTGGCTGCCCTTGCCCCGGCTTCCTTCATGCCATCCCTCCTCACTTCCCACAGTTAGGAAAGGAGTTTGGCTCGTTCCGTCTCGGAGCTGCCCCGGAGATGCCTGTCCAGCCTGGGGCTGCTATTCCGCAGGGTCCTTCTCGGGAGTAAATGAGCTAATGCCTGGACCGTGCTGACAGCGGTCCCTGGCACCTGAACTGCCTGATACATGTCCATTGTTATCAGTCACGAGTGACTGAGGAATGTGCAAGCAATGAAAGGACAAGCACTGGGACGTGAAAGGTTTACGGAAAGTCATCCAGGGGCTTCTGGGGAGCGGGCGGATGTTGCACCTGGTGGCGTCTGGGAGTGGTTCACGCTGAGTGCGGCCGACCGACCCAGGAGGAAGCTATTCCTTGCCTTCTCATTCCTCCTGGCTCGTACCTGTTAGGCTCCCGGAGACGCTCCCCAAGGGACTGACCTACGCCCGTGTCCCAGAGTCACCCCTAAACTTCTGTGTCCCCTTGGCTTCTCGCCTAGTGTTTGGTTCATGCCCCGACGCTCTCCCCCACCAAGCAGCGCATTGACAGGCCCAGGAGCCCCCGAACGCATCGTGACAAATACTGCCATCCCGGCAGCACCTCGGGGAACCCCAGGAATCCCACGCCCTAACGAGAGACACTTACTTAGCGGGATGTCATCAAACAGAGTCAAGCGATTCCACAAGTTGATGAAGCCCTGGTAGAAATTCCTCCTTCCCCTCCACCCTGCACATCCAATTACGATGCAGCAGGCTGATTGGTACCTGCTGGATTGATTTTTCATTTAAGAAGCGTTCCGGGTGTGTTTGTAAACCTTCGAGTGAGAAGTAGGTCCCATGTGAGTGTCACAGCAAACTGGGGGAGGCCGTGTGGAGTTCCATTCAGAGCCAGTGACTGGCCGGCCCCAGCTCGCTCTGCCAGCCGCTCCCTCCCGGGACTCCGCCCCCATCCTGGGACTCCGCCCCCATCCTGGCGGCCCTCAGGGCCCCTGGCGACCTGACACCCGCCCACTCCCAACATCTCCCCTCCCTCTGCGCCTCACGCGCCCCTGTTGCGTCCCCACCGGTCCTGTGTCTTCTTGCTTGAACACGTTAAACTCAGTTTTATTCCAAGGGCTGTTCCCTCTTCTTGGAATACTTTCCACCCAGACTTCCTGGAGGCCGGATCCTTCTCATTGCCAAGGTCTCAGATTTCACCCACAGCAGGAGAGCCCTCGGGCTGCTCTTTGTCCTGTTTCCTGTTGCTGCTCTAGCCCTCAATTCGCTCTAAATTATCCATTTATCTTGGATAATTCCCCCCCCACGCGCGCGCACACAGTAGGAAGGCACTCCTGAAGTGTAGGAACCTCGTCTTTCTTGCTCATTCTGGGATCCAGCACAATACCTGCCCATCGCAGATGTTCAGCAGCACATATTTGCGGGGTAAATGCATGTTTGCAAGCCAGAAATGGAGCCTGAGGAGGAAACGACCGCTGCCATAGACTGAGCTCCTGCTGCACGTCTAGCGTCCTGTCGAAGACTCTATTGCGGGAGAGCAAGTAGGCCCCCTCACGTGGTGGCGGCCACGAGGCCCCAAGGGCAGCTACGAGTGAGCCCCACCCACCAAACACGTGCTGTTTAACTCCCCCCGTCTTGTGTATCTTGTGTACTGTTTCGTAAAGCAAAGTAAGTCGCAGGGCCAGCCCAGAATCGGGGCGGGAGGGTGTCAGCAAAGGGCGTGGATCGCAGGAGGGGAATGACCTGTAGCCATTGTGTAACCTACAAAAGGAATCATTGTCCCCCATGTGCAAACATGAGCGTGAAAGCTCGAAGGACCATCATCCCTTGCTCGGGGATACCAACACAGCGTAGGGTTCAAACCCAGGTGTGTCGGACCCTAGAAACCACAGGGTACACCTCCGCACCAGGCCGCCCACTGGGCTCCAGTGGACCAAACTGGAACCCACCACCTTGTGGGGAGGGGGATCCCCCTTTCCAGCAGAGGCTGAGACACCTGCCTGGACTGCTTCGGCCAACTGTCATTCAGGAATGCCTTCCAACCCCGGTCTCTGAGGTTTCCTATACTCGGCCGTCCCATCCCCCCGCCTGCTGCCTGGTTGCTGCACAGACTGTGTGAGCCTGCCTGCCTCCCGCGGGCTCCCTGGGGCAGCCCCTGCCTCTCTCTTCATCTGCCAGACATCGCTCTGGCCCGTCTGGAGCCCTGGTCCTCCTTACCCCAGCATGAGACGGCGATGGGTTCTGCGGGGGGTGGAGAAACTCGTGGGACAGGGTCGGGACTGTGGGTCCTGGGGTTGGCTGCTCACTCACTCCCTCCTCGTGTTCATCCTCGAGCCACCCTCCTCTCCACGGCTGAGCTCTTCCACCATGCAAACGGCATCACCAGACTAAAAAGTCTCCAGGAGTCCTTCCAAGCTAACACTTCTGTAGTTTGGGGATTACTCTTTGTCTCTGGAAATGCTCTCTGTTGGCCCAGGCCCTCACTGTGCCAAGCGCCTGGTCTCCCTGCAAGGGACAAGGGAAGCCTCGGCACAGAACTTTGCCTCGACAAGGACCACATGGGGGTGGACCTTGGGAACAGGTGTGGGAAGAGGCCGGCCCCAAGAGTGACTGAGCAGAAGGAAGGAGTAGGGACACATTGATGCCCAAGCAGGACCACGACGTTCTTATTTGACGGACGAATCCGGCAATGAGAAGGAGGTGTTTGGGGGCATTTTTCTCAGCCTGATACCAGTCTGTATTGAATGATGACCTAGATCCCCGGTGTTGGTGTCAGACAGACTTGGGTGTAAATTCGGCTTCTCCGCTTTGTCGCTATGTGACTTGAAACAAGTTGGGTCACCTCCTTCAGCTCCCCAAGGACGCTGTAAAGCAGTGCTGAAAATCTCACCTTCAGAGTACCTGTGAATGTCACACGCGGCACGGCCCCCATGTGGCCGGCCCACTGTACGCAGCTGATGAATGACGGGTTGATGGTAGTGCCATCGTCACGTGTTATGATAGCCTCCATTGGGCACTGCTAGTGAGGCCCTGGCAGAAAGCTTGGCTGTGAGGGAGGAGAGGCTGGAGAGACTGGGGCTGGTGGCAGAGAAGGAGAAGCAGGCGCTGTCGTCATGGTCTGCGGCTCGCCGAGGTTCCACAGAGCATCTGGAACCGTGCCCTGTAAAGCCACATGGGTGTGACACTTGCCACACCAGCAGCGCCTTCCTCCTGAGACCCTGAAGTATTGCGAGCCTCTGTTACGACTCTAGACCCTTCGCAGAGCTCAGAAGAGGGGCTGTTGCTGGGCGGGGCTTGTTCCTGGCTTACAAAAACTCAGACACAAAGTCAAACACCAAGTCGGTGGGAGAGTCCGCAGCAGGACGTGGCCTTTGACTCCCCACATCTCAAAGGGTCCGTACGGACACCCTCCCAGGTGCAGGGCTCCCCGCTCCTGCTCCTTTTACAGACGACGAGCAGGTGGCGTCACTCAAAACCTCAGGTGGGCGGAGCCCAGCTCGGCCCAGGGCCCCTGCAGCAGAGGCCGGATGCAAATTTCGGAGATTAGGCTTTGTGGAGGAGGTAATGCCCCTAAGTAGCCGGCTCTGGGCAATTTGATTAGCAAGCGTCATAAAGTATGCGAAATGGAGGTCGTTTTATCCCATGGATATCTTAATCCTTCAAAGAGAAGGAGGACGGCAGTCCGGCAGAATCACTGAGAGGGAGCCCTGAAAGCCCGTCCGGAAAGCCGCTGATGCAGGAGAGCTGCCTGCGCCCCGTCCCTTTTGTTTAGAAGCACAGAAACGCAAGGACTCTCTTCCCCGGTAATTGTCCGACTGAAGTGGGCATTCCGACCGGGAGACTGCTGATTGTCTGCCTCTTGCTGGGTAGGAAAAGAGAAATTGAAATAGGCTTTTGCTTTTTCTTAACCATAGGTTTTATGGAGCAGGCACTTCTCCTGCCTTTGGGGAAAGGACCGTCTTTATGGATTTCTCTTCGTTTTCGCAGGGCCCGCTCCTTGTCCGAAGTGCCTTTTGTTTTTTCTCTGGGTCCCGTTATTCCCCAGCTCTCCTTGACCCGTGCCTCTCAGGTGGCCTTGCACAGTGGCCGTGGTGACCCTGGGACAGTAGGGCTCTGGAGAATGCAGACTGACAGCGTCACCCAAGCCACTTTTTGTGCCCAACATTCATGTGTTTTTTTCTGTTTCTTTTGCCAAACGCCCAGTATCGTTTCCGTCTCACCATCTCCCCCACAAGGCCCTGTCCAGGTCCCAGCCCAAGAATCAACACCGACTAGGCCTCTGGAGTCTCAGTTCTTTCATCAGGAGGAGGAGGTGCACGGGGTTGCTGGCAGAATTCTGGAGGGCGTCTGGTGCATAGTGATGAGTCAAGTGTGGTTATTATTACCCTTGTGTTTACTGCTTGTTACAAGGCTCCCTGAAACTCGCGGCCTCCGTTCGGCTCCGTCCCCCGTGGCTGGTCCCTGCTTCAGGAGCTCAGTGGAGCTGTATGAGTCGTCCCTGAGAGAGGAGGAGAGGGAGAGGAGTTTGAAGCTGGAGAGGGATCTTTAGATCGTTCAGTCCAACCTTCCCCACCCCTTGGGAAAGAAGAGGCCTGTACTGGGCTGTGACTCTCTCAGTGTCACTCACTCAGTCAGAAGCAGACAAAGATTATGGCCGTTTGGCCGATGAAGGAGCCGAGGTTTGGTGATTTGGACGCAGGCTGGTGACCCCAGGCTGGTGACCCCAGGCTGGTGGAGGTGGGGCTCCCTGAGGGTGGCCGGGGGGAGGGTGCGCAGATGGGACCGGCTGCCGCTCACCTGCCCTGTCTCTCGCAGGCTCCAGATGCTCGAGGCCATCTGCAAGCACTGGGAGGGGCCCATCAGCCTGGCCCTCTACCTGTCCGACGCCGAGGCGCAGCAGTTCCTCCGCTACGCGCAGGGCTCCGAGGTGCTCATGGGCCGCCGCAACGTGGCCTACCACATCGTGTACAAGGAGGGCCAGTTCTACCCCGTGAACCTGCTGCGCAACGTGGCCATGAAGCACGTGGGCACGCCCTACATGTTCCTGTCCGACATCGACTTCCTGCCCATGTACGGGCTCTATGAGTACCTCAGGTGAGGGCCCGCGGGCCGCAGGCCACGTCCTCCGGGCCAGACCGCCCCTGGGGTCGGCCCCAGGTCCTCCTCTTCCTCCTGCACAGGTCGGCCCCATGAGACCTTAGTGGTGGAGCGTGGTCTAGGAAGCATCTCTTTGTCTCTCAGTCTCAGGTTCTCTCTGTAGCTTCTATGAAACCGTCATTCCTCATCCAGTTTTGGGTCCAACAGCCTCATCTAACCATGCTCTAACCGATCTTTCTTCTAGAAAGGTCACTGCCTATGCTGTGAAACAAATCAAAGTGGAGGGGGTGGCTAACACTTACCGAAGTCCTCGCCGAGTGCCAGGCACTGTTCTGAGTGATTGACAAGCAGGGCTTCGCCCTGTTGCCCTGCGGAGCCCGCCATGAGTGCCGTTAATATCTTTGCGTTGTCAGCGGGAGGCTGCGGGAGTGAGCCCGAGCTGCTGGCCCCGGGTTACACGCCAGGTCGTCACGCGGGGGCTGGGGCCGAGCGTGGCCAGGCCGCCTGCAGGCCCTGGGCTCACTCGCCGTCACGGCCATCTCTCCGACTCCCCCGTGACCCTCCCAGCTCTCCCCCGATGGAGGGCCAGGCATCCCGGGGCAGGGGAGCACTCGGCCCGTGACAGCCGTAGATGGCCGTAGGGGCGGGGGGGAGGCTGTTCACCAAGGTAGAACAGCCTGAACTGAGCAGAACTGTAGCATTCACGCAGCCCTGAAGCTCCCCACGTGAGACAGCTGAGTCACAAGGTGTAAGTGGTCAGACATTTCAGGTCCTTCATTACTGGCATTTGTCAGCCTGAATGACCTCTGACCGAGAGAGTGCTTGCCTGCATCCGGGTACCGTGAGCAGCGGTTTGCACATACTAATTACCCAACTAGATCCGAACCTCAAGCCCAGAAGGCAGGCATGGTGGCCCCCACCACCGCCTCTACCTCTGGAACAGTGGTGCTCAGAATTAGTATGGTAACCCATCCAAGGCCACACAGCTGAGCTGGCTCTGGGATTTGAACCAGCATCTGCTGGACTCCAGGTCTGCAGGCTGCCCTGTGTCGATGCTTGTCTGGCTGCTCTGGGCTCTCTGGCAGTCCCAGATGGAGCAGGATCTGACCTTTCTCTCTGCCCTCCCTTCCTCGGTGTATGTATGTGAGTGTGTGTGTGTGTGTGTGTGTGTGTGTGTGTGTGTGTTTATATGTGAGTGTCTGTCTATCTCTGGGTATCTTTCAGTCTTTCTATCTCAGTCTTTCTATCATAGTCTCTGTCACTCTTACAAAAGCTTCCAAAAGCGTGGACACTTCTGTCCTGAAGCTGGCATGCAGGTGCAATGCGGGCGCCCTCCTGCCCTGCTCTCTCGAGGGAAGAGAGCCCTGCTCTCTGTCCACTTCTGAGTCGGTTGCTTCCCGGGTTGTGGTGGGCGTTCAGGGCATCAGTCCCTCCCCTGTAAGCAGAAGGAGCCCCTTCCAGCCTCTCTGTAAAAATAGCAGCGTGAGCAACCTCAGGGCAGCACAACCCACCCTCAGGGAGGAAGGGAGGCATCTTCCCAAAGAGCCTCTGCTGGGGTACAGAGGCCTGTGAACCCCAAGTGTGGGCTGGCAGGGCACAGACAGCGGAGCTGTCCTGCTCCTGCTCCAGCTCCAGCACCAGCTCCTGCTCCAGCGGGGCCCAGAACCCAGTGTGTGGGGTGAGGACGCCCCCATGTGGCCAGACAGGGCTTTCAGCTGCTGATTCCAGTGGATTCTGAGGTCTGGTGGTTTACAGGATGACCTGCGCTGGATGTCAGGCAGGGCTCCCAGAGGAACAGATGGTGGGGCCGAGGGCCGCCTGGACCAAGACGAGGGAGGCTTCAGGACCCCGGCCCCCCTCCCCCTTCCTGGGGCTCTTCCACGGGAAGACTGGCCACATCTTAAAAGTCTGTGTTCTCTGCTCTCCCCGTCTTATTACTTCACCTCGTGGCATCCTGTTTTTGCAAAAACAGTTCACATGAGGAGCACTGTGTTTTTATGTTGTCTTCCTGCGTTGTATCTGTCAGAGGTGCTAACCAAGACCTCACTCAGGGTGAGGTACCCAGTCTGCCCACTAATTAATCCTCACTTAACGCGGAGTCACCTGGCGTTTTAGCCGCCGTTGCCACCTTATCAGAGTATGTGCGGTTCAGGGCTCTGAAATACTGCACATCGCTCCCAAGACTCCACGCCTTTCTTCCCGGGCCCAGCAGAAGTCCAGGGACCCGGAGCCGAGGAGAAATTACCGCACCGCATCCTTGTTCAGTGTGCACGTGGGAACTGTGCTTCTAGAGTGAAAAGATAGTGTCGCCTTCCTGATTTTCCTTCTCCTCCATCCATAGTATCTGTCCGTCTTCTCACTCACTTAGTAAGTAAAGATGTATCAGACACCTATTGTCTGCTCCCACGTCTGTGGACCATGCAGATTGGAACTGTGCATCCCCGAGCTTACAGAAAGCGGAAGCCACAGTGGAAGGCACAGGTTCCTTAGGTCCATCCGGTGATGGGGTGTCCGGGTGGCACGAACCTAGTCTGAGGTTGGAAGGAGCTTCGGAGAAGATGTCCTGAAGACATTAGAGGGCTGAGCTGCAGTTAGCCGGTACAGGCGGCAGGGTTCCAGGCGGGGGGAGACATCACATTGAGGACCCGGTCGGAGATAGGGGCCAGGTGGTCCCGTAGGCCTTATCATAAACTGAGCTAAGGAGTCTGGACTCTCTGAGAGTCACCGAGCATGGCGCAGTGGGGTGCGCAGGGAAGGAGCGTTCGGTTGCACCGTGGAAGGAGCACAGTCGGCAGGGCCAGAGGGAGGAGGTGAGGTAGGGGGCTCTTGCATCAGGCCACGTGGGAGGTGTTGGAAACCTGGTGGAAGGGTCAGAAGTCACAGCAGACACAGGTAGACGGACCAGGGAGAGATTCTGCCGCTGAAAGCAATGACTGTGTGCAAAGGTGTGCGGACTTTGAAAGGGAAGCTCTTTCAAATGTGGCCTCCAGAGACGTCCTTTGAGACGCCCAGACCGCCCAGAGGCCCGGCCTGCTTCGGCCTGTTTCTCCTGCCGGCCCCTCTCGCTCCGCAGGGCCCACGTCCTTCCGGGGACTGAGGCGCTGACTTGGAGTGTAGTGGTGGGCGGGGCCCTGGCTGGGACCCCGGAATCCCGAAATCCTGTACCAGCTCACACTCTGCCCTGGTGAACCGTGTGACTTCCAGCAGTTCTGTATCTTCAGCCCCTTTCCTCACTGTGAAATGAAGGAAGGGACTTACATCAGGAGTCCCAAGGTGCCCGTGGGGGCTAGGACCTTGGCCCTCGGGAGCCAAGAATGCTGAGGATCGTTCTCTAGGAAAACCGCAGCCCAAACCTCAGGCAGCTGATGTCCCTGCACTTGAACTGTGGAATTCTTGCCCGGCGGGAGCAGGGGAGGAGGGCAGGGCTGAGGTCTTCATATTTTTCTAGGGAAGCTAGAAGTCTGGATTGTCGTGTTTCAATTTTTAATGTTGACAGCTAATTTAGAAAAGAAAACACTGTCAAGTGTTTTCCGAGGACCAGCATGTCCGCGGGCTGCGTGGAGCCCCGCCCCCACGCCAGGCTGCCAGTGGTGTGGGACCTCCGATCTAGATCATTCCTGGGCAGCGGGATTTTGAGAATTGGGAAAGAATAGGATTCGACCAGAAGCCCCAAACAAGCACGCAGTGTTCTTTTCAGGCGAAGATAAACATATTGACTTGCCATTGGCTTAAGGAACATTTTTCCCATGGAGTTCGATGGATTCGTTTATGATCCATCATGTTATGATGGATCAAAACATGGATGTGCTTCGTGACCGGTGTCGTAGCAGTGGTTTGGGGTGAGGTCAAGGGTGCCGTTTGCCAAGGTGGTCGTGGACACCAGGAAGGCCAGGAGTTCCCCTAGAGACTGACTTCTCCAGCGTAGATAGCCCACAAAATGCTCTGCCCGAACACTGGTAGGATATTAATGTTAAAAATGACGATGGTGTCGTTCCCCTTGCTCAAAACAATTGATGCAGAGCTATCTCTGTCTAGCACAATTCCATAGCAAGACAGACGCTTTTGTGAAATGTTTTTCCCTCAAACATTTGTTGAAAAAAAAGGTGATAGTTACAATTTATTAAGCCCTTACCATGTGCCACCAACTCTACCAGCTGCTTTGTGTCTGTGACCTCTGTTCATCACACCTGCTTGTGAGGTCAGTGTGATTACAGGTGACCCAGCCGAGGCCCCAGGGAGGTTAACCCGGGGTCAGAGGAGGAAGGTGGCCCTCCCCTTTAGGACAACCTACTCCCTCGTGGGAGGGGCCAGGTTGCTCTGACACCCAAGGATGCTAGAGCGGGCGGATCGGCAGCCCTCTCATTGGACCCCCAAACCTTATCGCCCTTTTGGAGGCCCTATTTGGGTACCAACTCAAGTTCAACATCATAGCTCCCTAAGCAGTTGCTCTGCAGCCAGCTAATATTATAACAGAAAGAAACAGATCAATTGGAGAAGAAACAAGTCACTTATACATGCATGGACATAGCGACAGGGTTTCACAAACATCTCTCTCCTGCTCCTTCCCCTTTTCTTCTAAAGCAAGACATGTGGCTTTTAGTCTTGATTTCAGAAATGTTGAGTGAAATTCAGCAGGGTGTTGGCAGGCCCGCTTTGGAGTTCAGGTTCCGACATACCTGTCAAGTGTGTGACTCAAGGCAGCTTGCTTAGTCTCCCCAACCCTCCGTTGACTCGGTGATTAAAGGGGCAAGAATAGCCCCTTGCGGGGGCACTGCAGGTACTCAGCAGCAGTGAGTGTCCTGCCCTTGGCCTGTTCACAGCGCTCGGTATTGAACTTCTTCGCCAGGCCCCCACCGCCAACCCCTACCTTTGCAGGCCCCTCCACCGCGAGTACAGCCCGGGTCACTCCATGTAACCCTCTCCTTCTCTTTCTTGTCACATGAGAAACCGTGTGCTCCTGTTCATTCAAGAAAATGTTTGGTGAGCACCTGCCGTGT